GCCTCAGCCTCCTGAGTAGCTGAGACTATAGGCACCCGCCACCTCACCCGGCTAGTTTTTTTGTATTTTTTAGTAGAGACGGGGTTTCTCCTAAACACCGTATTCACCAGGATGGTCTCGATCTCCTGACCTCGTGATCCTCCCATCTCGGCCTCCCAAAGTGCTGGGATTACAGGCTTGAGCCACCGCGCCCAGCCCAGAAGGAAGGGCTTTATTCGGCCAGGAGCATCAGCAAGACTCAGGTATCAAAAACCAAGCTCCCTGAGTGAGCAATTCCTGTCCCTTTTAAGGGCTCACAACTCTAAGGGGGTCCCCATGAGAAGGTCATGATCAATTGAGCAAGCAGTGGGTACATGACTGGGGGCTGCATGCACCGGTAATTAGAATGGAACAGAACAGGACAGGGATTTTCACAGTGCTTTTCTATACAATGTCTGTAATCTATAGATAACATAACCGATTAGGTCAGAGGTCGATCTTTAACTACCAGGCCCAGGGTCTGGCGCCGGGCTATCTGCTTATGGATTTCATTTCTGCCTTTTAGTTTTTACTTCTTCATTCTTTGGAGGCAGAAATTGGGCATAAGACAGTATGAGGGGTGGTCTCCTCCCTCACTGTGTATGGGAGTAAGAGTCGCCTCTAACCGCCTTTTAGCTCTTAGTGGGCTCTTTAGTTGAATCTAGGCCCAGATTGAGAATCACTTGTAATCCTAGCTACTGGGAGGCAAAGGCAGGAGGATCCCTTGAGCCCAGGAGTATGAGATCAGCCTGGGCAAGTTAGTGAAACCCTATCTTCAAAAATAAATAAATAAATAAATAATAAAGTAAAATAAGAAAAAATAAATTGACAGTGGACAAACGAGAAAATTATACAAATTGTATTAGTTTTACATGTACATGGGGATCTTCACAAGAGAGGGAAGTCAGAAAAAGTGCCCAAAGCCAGGTGCTTTTATGTTTCTTAGACAAAGAACAATAAAATTTAAGTGGGCAGATGTGGCTCATGCCTGTAATCCCATCACTTTGGGAGGCCAAGGTGGGTGGATCACTTGAGGTCAGGAAACCCCGTGCTTATTAATAATAATTTTAAAAAGGTTAGCTGGGGGGTGGGTGGTGGTGGGTGCCTGTAATCCCGGCTCGGGAGGCTGAGGCAGGAGACTCACTTGAACCTGGGAGGCAGAGGTGGCAGTGAGCCGAGATCACGCCACTACACTCCAGCCTGGGTGGGAGAGAGACTTCGTTTGAAAAAAAAGAAAAGAGGGCCAGCCCGGTGGCTCACACCTGTAATCCCAGCACTTTGGGAGGCCGAGGCGGGCGGATCATGAGTGGTCAAGAGATCGAGACCATCCTGGCCAACATGGTGAAACCCCATCTCTACTGAAAGTACAAAAATTAGCCAGGCGTGGTGGCCCATGCCTGTAGTCCCACCTACTTAGGAGGCTGAGGTAGAATAGCCTGAACCCAGCAGGCAGAGGTTGTAGTGAGCCGAGATCCTGACACTGCACTCCAGCCTGGGCTACAGAGCGAGACTCCCTCTCAGAAGAAAGAAGGAATAAAAGGAAAAAAATAAATGACAGGACAAAGAAAATTTAGCTAGGGCAGTGAGTAGCTAGAATATGTATGGGGGGGTGTCAAGTAGGTGCAACATACAGACTACTTTGTTACGTATGTTTATTCTGGTCCCTTGTGGCCTCTGAAGGCTGTTTTCTTGCCCTCGTACAGAAGGATATTCCCCCAGAGTAAGGTTTCTGGCATGCTGCATGCAGAAGAAACAGGTCGGATTGCTCCGTCTGAAACTACAATTTCTCTGTTTTTAACTCAGAATATATCAGTATACCAGGCTGTGAACCTTTTACAGGAGGTCCGGGGGAGGCCCTGTGGAGGAACCTGGAGGGATGGTGATCTGGCGGGGATCTCAAGAAACGGGTTAACCTGCCCCATAAGTGAGGAGAGCCACTTCTTTCCCTTTTCGGGGATCCGGGTGGGGCGGGCGCCGCTGAGCGCATCTAGGTGGCCGCAGGACGCGGCATCGCGTCCCGGATCAGGACGCAAACATCCCTATACCGCAGAAACCGCCACTGCGCCAGGAAGAGGCAGTCGGCCATTTCCGCAGAGCTCTTGGCCCGCGGACTCTTTCCCAGTCTCCGTCCCTTCCGCCTTCCCAGGTTCATTGGCTTGGAGCCATGAGCGTGGCCAGTGACTGGGCGGCTCCTGGAGGGACACTGGGAATTTGCCCTGGGAGTGGGGTGCAGGGGGCTCCACGGACGCCTCGACGACCGGAAGTAGCTTCGGGTGGGGACTAGAGAGGACAGCGAGCAACTCCGTGGTTCCGGAGTCCAGAAAAATGAAGGCCCTCTTAGAAGAGATGGCTGTCGATAGTCCAGCTTCTCTTCATTTTAGAGAAAGGCATTGAATAGCTTGAATATCGATCTGGTGTTGCTGACCTGGTTTGTTCCTGCTGGAAACGTCTCCTCTTGCTGTTCCTCTCAGGCGGCCTTGGCAGCGCCTCTTGCCGTAGTTAAGATGGATGCAGCCGCTTCGACCTGGGCTCAGGCAGTTGTCAGCAAGGGCTGCAGGGGAGGAGAAACCGGTCCAAGATTCTCGACCAAGGGCCTGACGTCCCCTTCCCAGTCCCTTAGAGGAGGCCCTTCGAGGAGGCCCACTCAGTGACCCAGTCTTTATTTTATTATTGTGTTTTATTTATTATATTTTTAATTTTTTCTATTCTATTCCACTCTACACTCTCTCGCTCTCTTTTTTTCTTTTTTCTTTTTTCTTTTTTTTGAGACAGAGTTTAGCTTTTGTTGTCCAGGCTGGAGTGCAATGGCGCGATCTTGACTCACTGCAACCTCTGCCTCCCGGGTTCAAGCGATTCTTCTGCCTCAGCCTCTTGAGTAGCTGGGAATATGGCGCCTGCCGCCATGCCCGGCTAATTTTTTGTATCTTTAGTAGAGACAGGGTTTCACCATGTTGGCGAAGCTGGTCTCGAGCTCCTGACCTCAGGAGATCTACCTGCCTGGGCCTCCCAGAGTGCTGGGATTACAGGCATAAGCCACTGCACCTGGCCTCTACTCTCTACTCTTGAGAGGGAGTCTCGCTCTTGTCCCCCAGGCCAGAGTGCAATGGCGCGATCTCAGCTTACTGACCCCAGAAGCCAAGCTGGAATGCCCCAAATTATTGAAGGCAAAACGTCATCAACTAGAGAGGTGGGATTTTAGGGTAGGTTACCACACTGCCATATAAATGTAAAGAGGATAAATATACACTTTGAGAGGCCGAGGCAGGCAGATAACTTGACGTCAGGAGTTTGAGACCAGCCTGACCAACATGATGAAACCCTGTCTCTACTAAAAATACAAAAATTAGATGGGCATGGTGTCATGTGTCTGTAGTACCAGCTACTCAGGACACTGAGGCAGGAGAATCACTTGACCCTGGGAGGCAGAGGTTGCAGTGAGCGGAGATTGCACACTGCACTCCAGCCTGGGCCACAGAGTGAGACTCCATCTCAAAAAACAATAATAATAAATAAGGCCAGTCACAGTGGGTCACACCTGTAATCCCAGCACTTTGGGAGGCCGAGGCCAGTGGATCACCTGAGGTTGGGAGTTTGAGACCAGCCTGAGGAATATGATGAAACCCCGTCTATACGA